CCGACGCCCGAAATTCGAAATTAACTACCACCTGCGGCAGCTCAGTAGTGATGTTATGTGAGTGGCGTATTCGGGTGAGGACCCTGAATCCGGAACGAGAAACGGGATTGAACGGATGAGACGTGGCGGGATGACAGCGGGATGACGATATGCACTGAGTGTGGTGTAACAGACGTATGATTGGTGTAATAGACGTATGATTGATGCAGGTAATGGCGTGATTGAATGCGGATGCGTGGATAGAAGTTAACCTAAAATGATGGTGGATATATGTAGACAGAGATACTGAGCGGATGATGATAGAGGTTGTAGGGTGACGTGACGTATGGGTAAGCTGTTCGTTGACGTGAGGTGAAATAATTAGCGAGATATGTATTGAGCAGGGCGCAGATGATGCAGATGGGATAAGCGTAGGCGTGCAGACGGGTGAAAAAAGATAAGCCGAGAGCGATTGTGAAGGTGATTTCGGGTAGAGAAGGGTTGGATAGAGAACAGAAGAGTAGCACAAACGAGAGGAGAGGAGAAAAGGTTGTGATGACGGTTCGTGTGATGTGAGGACGATCAAGGGACCGATGGATGAACGATGAGCAAATGAGAATGGAGGCTGCAGAGGCAGAGACCTAGCACGACGCGTGCTTAATGAGATGTGATAAAGAAGCAAGTCATGAAAGAATGAAAAGTCGAGTTAATAAACGAAAGATGAAAATGAACTACAAACTAAATAAATTGTGATAAAAAGACTTAGCGTCTCGATGTCGATGTCCTGAGTCCTGGGGCTCGATGGCAGCGGCGAAATCTCCTGCTGACGGTGCAGACTGCAAGCGATAAAAAACACTAAGCGTGAAGATGCTTCCACTTCGGCAGGCCAAGCAAGAGAGAGAGTGCAGGCTAAAAAATAATTGCCAAGTCCTGAAGTCCCGCCCCTCCTACCACCGCGCCGACGGGACATGAGCCAATCAGCGACGGGGGCGGGCGCGCGCAAGGCTCCAGGGGAAAATGAGGTGCGTGCGATTCTGGAATTCGGACCAAAAACAGAATTCGCTCAATCCCGTCTCTCGACGGAACAGGTTTCCCCCGTTGCGAGAGTATGCGAGCAAAATGATTTGAAGTGTGGTTGTGTCTGTGTAACATGTTAGTGGCGCTACATATTGAGTCCAAATACAATTAAATTTGACTACAGTCTAACAGCGGGCATAACTGAGTGATATTCCTCTTGTAGATTCCTGTCTTGGTTTTTACAGACACCACTCGGACGACGCCATCGCTCCCAGGATAAACCTCCATGACTACTCCCAACTGCCATTGGTTATAATCTCTATTCTTATCGCTGATTACTACGACTGCGCCCACCTTGACTTCTCCCTTGCTCCCTAGCCATTTCTGTCGTTTTTGCAATTACTGAGGTACTCTGTGTGCCAACGTTTCCAAAAGTCCTGCCGTGCCTTGACGATGAATTTCCATACTGGAAGACGATTATCTGGAATAGAAGTCATGTCATGATCAGGCAACATAGTTAGTGGTCGGCCAATAAGAAAATGCGCAGGAGTCAGTGCGGCAGGATCGTTTGGATCTGCTGACATACAACTAATGGGGCGAGAATTTAAAATCGACTCTACTTCCACGCATAAAGTATTAAGTTGTTCGAAGATTAGTAACTGCTGTCCTATAACTCGTTTAAGATGGTGTTAAAAGGATTTGACGGCTGCTTTCCAAATACCCCCAAAGTGAGGAGAAAGAGGTGGGTTAAAATGCCAGACAATGTTACGCTGTTGGGTGTATCCGCTAAGTGCATCGCGGAAGGGTTCTGACTGAATTAAGGCGTAAATCTTACTTAACTGATTATTCGCACCTACAAAGTTTGTCCAGTTATCCGAATATACGTGAGATGGAATTCCCCGGCGGCTTACGAATCTTTTGAACGCACCTAGAAATCCTTCGGTAGTCTGGTCGCTCGCTATCTCAATGTGGACTGCCTTTGTGTTCATGCAAATAAAAACGCAACCATAAGCTTGAAGAATAACACGATTCCTAAACTGTTTTTCCTTGATGTTGATAGGGCCAAAATAATCTATTCCTACGTGTTCGAAGACCGAAGCTTGTTGCACGCGCGCCTGGGGTAAATCGTTAATTTTTCCCTGAAAGGCTACTGGACGATGTTTTACGCATGTGACGCAATGCCGCACAATTCTCCTAACTTGATTCTTTCCATCTAACAGCCAAAATTTCTGACGAATTCTATACAACGTGCTCTGGATTCCTGCATGCAATAACGACTGGTGAGTTTGGCGAATAATGAGATCCGTTACATGGTGATAAGAGGGTAGCAATATTGGATATTTTTGTTCATCAGAAATCTGCGCGTTGCGAAGCCGGCCACCTACACGAAGTAAACCGTTGGGATCGATAAAGGGGTTGAACGCTGCTATTTTCGTATTTTTTGTAGAACCAGTTTTCTCGATCTGCCGAATTTCCCTTTCAAACTGTTCAGATTGGATCGATTTCAATAATCTCCATTCTGCTCTGGATCTCTCGGCCACCCTGAGTGAATCATGGTTTCGATCAGCTGAAAAACGCCAACGCAAACAATACGCAAGTGAATTAAGTAGCGACTGATAGGATGAAAAGCGCCTGTAACCTAATGGGTCCTGTGATAAGGGGTTGGGCCTAGGGACCTTTGAAGGCAGAACTTCATTAGCAGTGAGGGCAAGACAGGTTGGAGTCCTTAATCCTGGAAGTTCGACGTTGGGGTCTCTCGCAGATTTGGGCCAATCTTCCTCTGATTGGTACAGCCATTTCATCCCGGAACTCCATGTATCATTCTGAATGAACTCGGCTGGAACTTGACCCCTAGAAAGAACATCAGCGAAATTGTTTTTGCTGGAGACATGACGCCATTCAACGATACTCGACAACTCTTGGATTTCTGCGACACGATTCCCTTCAAAAACCTTCAGGGCTTGTGGAGGTTTTTTAATCCACTGCAAAACAATCTCTGAATCGGACCAAAACACGACCTTGTGGAACGAAACTTCAAATGATTCCCGAAACTCCCTAAACAATCTCACTAGCGTTAGAGCGCCACACAATTCAAGCCGGGGAATGGTGGTTTGCTTGACTGGAGCTACCCGAGACTTGGCGCACGCTAAGCGAACGAGGACCTGGTTGGTTCTGTCAACTGATCTTAAGTATATGCAAGCCCCATATCCTCGCTTGCTTGCGTCGCAAAATCCGTGCACCTCAATCGCTAATGCGCCGGGTAAAATAAGATGTCTAGGAAACGATACTTCTTCTAATCGATCTAGTTGCTCTACAAATAAACGCCACCTGGTGTGTAGTTCTTGTGGCACTGATTCATCCCACCCTACCTTTGCCTTCCAACAATCCTGCATGATGACCTTAGCTGCGAATACGACTGGCCCTAAAAGCCCTAGGGGATCGAAAATCTTTGCGATTTCGGATAGAATGACTCGTTTCGTGACTGTTTGGGGCGTTTCTATTCGTTTAACTACATATGCAAAACAATCTAATTGGGAGTCCCAAGATATACCTAAGGTTTTAACTATCGGATCCCCCTCTGTTAAGCTATCCATTTTAAAGACCCTCCCCTCTGAGTCGTCAAGTGCATGAGCGTGATTTGAAGCCCATTTTCTAATCGGAAACCCCCCGCTAGCTAACAATTGAATTAACTCATCCCGAATCTGTAAAACCTCCTGTAAAGAGTTTGCCCCAGTAAGTAGATCATCTACATAAAAATCCCGCTTTAAGATAACACTAGCCCTAGGGAAATTTGCCCTTTCATCCTCTGCTAACTGATGAATCGTCCTAATAGCTAGAAAGGGAGCGGATGATACTCCAAAGGTAACCGTGTTCAGCTCGTAAGTCCTAATTCTACCCTGATGTACCCATAGAATTCGTTGGTAGGGCCGGTCCCGGGGATCTACTAAAATCTGTCTATACATCTTTTCTATGTCTGCAGTAACGACGTAAGTATGAGTGCGAAACCTGAGGAGGTGGTTGAAGAGTTTTGGTTGAATTGTAGGCCCCACCATAAGCATGTCATTCAGCGAAAGATTTTTATCGGTCTTGGAAGATGCATTGAAAACTACTCGGGTCTTCGTTGTGGTACTAGACGGTTTGACAACGGCGTGATGGGGCATACAATATCCCCCGGCACCCTTATCCTCTATCAGTGTCATGTGATTTGAGTCTACATATTCCTGCATAACCTTTGTATATTCTACTTCGAGGTTAGGATTACCCTTAAATCGATGTCTTATAGCTTGCAGTAGCCGGAAGGCTTTAGAACAAGAATCTCCTAATTCTGAACTTGGTGATTTAAAAGGCAGCCTAACGATATACCTACCACTATCATCACGTCTGGTATTCTGTACATAATGATTTTCGCATGCGCTCTCCTCCTCGGTAAAAACTGACTGATTACTAACCTCCTCCAATTCCCAAAATTTCGTGAGCTGTTCGTTCAATTCTACCAAATTACATGTAGCAACGCCCTCTGGATTTGACTTAATGCCTCCTATTATTACCCACCCTAGCTGAGTTTTTTGTAAATACAAACCGCAATTATTTCTTGACAGATGAAGTTGCCCAATGGATAGGAATGAGAGTGTTTCACCTGAGCCTATGAGGATGTCAACGGAACGTGGAACGTGGAACTGTGGGTCAGTTAATCGAATCCCATTAGGTATGTCGATTGCTTCTCGAGGAAAGGGTTCATTAGGAATAGCACTAGTTATATTTGGGACGATAAGGCAGTTTAACGTTTTTTGGAACTTATTGATGCGAGACTGGATGACAATTTCAACGCTCCCCATAGATGTGGACCCAATTTCCCCAAATCCCTTAATCGAGGTTTCGCATGTTTGTGTCTGCAACTGGAGCTTTTGAGCAAACCTTTCTGTTATAAAATGATTTGTAGAGCATGTGTCTAATAGGGCGCGCCCTCTTAAAAACTGCCCTCTGTCAGTCCTAACCAATACAACTGCGCTCATCAATAGCTGGGAAGTAAGAGACCTAGAAACTGCACTAAATACTTCGAAATCTAGTCACGTTGTGGATTGAGGATTTTTGGTACCTTGGTCAGATTTCTGAGAGTTTGTACCCTTTGAATCTGAGTGCAAAAGAGTATTATGATATCGATCGCAACGCTTGCAATGGCCAAGTACGCATTTACCGGGGTGAGACCGCAAACAGTTAAAGCACAGTCGATGAGCTCTGACAAAGTCCCATCGTCTTTGACTGGACAAGTTATTGAATCCCGGACAACGGTATAAGGAATGAGCTTGGCTACATTGGGGACAACTAGTTTGCTCAGCAGAAGTAACAAAAACGCGTGTCCCATCTTGGACCTTTCTAGCCTTTCTAGGTTCGACGTTGGGCTTAACGACTGCACTTTCTCTTGCGGCCTCACTTCCTCTGGGAACATCAGTTTCCATGGTGTATAACCTAGACACTACTCCGTCGATGAATTTATAGAACTGATCGAGGGTGGGCAGTTCATCTAGGGTCAAAGAATCCTCCCATTTCTGTCTAATAGAGGGCGGTAAGGCCCTTTCAAGCAAACGTACTACCATACGAGAGGGTTCTTCAACACCTAGAGATTGGAGGGTGTTCAGGTGTTGTTTCACTTCATCAACCATCTTAGAGATGTCTCTAGATGTTGGGGACTCAAGTGGGACGATGTCTAAAATGGCATCAAGGTGTTTTGAGACTAGAATGCGCTTTCTTTCGTAGGACTCCGTCAAAGTCTTCCAAGCCTTGCTGTAATTTCCCGCGCTTATGTCATAAATCGCCACCTTACTTAACGCATCCCCCTGCAACGTGTTACGTAGGTACATGAACTTAACTAGGTTATCGATGTCAGTCTGATAGTCGACCATGCTTAAAAAGGAATTTTTATATGATAGCCACTCTTCGTGCCCCCCACTAAACTTAGGAAGATCTGCTACTGGGAGTTTCAAAAGTCGCTGCTGTTCGACGAGCCCATTCCTTCTCCCTGTCCTGCCAAAGAAGCGTTATTCCTCCCATCGCAAGCGTTTAACCTTGCAATGTCGCTGGCTACCTGGTAATACCGTGTGCTGAGTTCTGACCAAACCTGCACTTCAATCACTTTTTCGCTCTCAACACTAAGCTCTTCTATAAGGTCCTCACATACTTGAAATTTCCTACTTAGATCCCCCAAACGCAAGGTCGCACTGGTTTTGTCGACGTCTGCGCCCTCTACAAAATTTTCTTATCCTTCTAATTTATCAGCAAATAATCTTACCTTTACCGATAAACTTTTGGGAAGTGTAGTTGCTATGTTGATGGTGTCGACCTAAGGATCCCTCTTACTGTATATACTTGAAACCCCCTAATCTTAACCCCTATGGCCCCGTTAGATCAACAAGTAAATTAAGCTATCCCTAATTAGAAAAAAGTGAAAGGAAAAAACAAAAGAGAAAAAATCAAATCTTATCTGTTTAAAGACGTTGCCTCGACTCCTGGCAGCTGGGAGCAGGTTGATGATCCTTGGGAGCGATGGCGATGGAAGCGACGATGGTTGACGTGTACGTGATAAGGCAGTGAACTTCAAACCTCACAGGAGGCACCAAAATGTTGCGTGTGAACACAGCCGATCCCACATGGATTGCCTGGTTCGAATTTAAAGGAATGAGATATAGATACAGGGAGGGGGGGTTGTACTGTATAGAGGGTTGGTTTGAGTTAAATTAAAAAAAATAATACAAAAAAAACAAATAGTGATTAAAAATTAAATAGAATTAAAGGGAGAGGAAGGTTAACACAATTAAGAACAACTAATTAATGGGAAAAAGCCTATGGCATAAAAAACCCAGATTTATTAAAAAACGAATCAGAATTAATACAATTGAAGAAAAACAGTTAAACTAATTTTACCATTAACAATGGGACCAATAATAACCTATGTTGGGTTAGTATGGGTATGTGTGAGGATGTGTGGAAGGACCTGGTGGTGACGACTCCCAGTGTGTGTGTGAGTTCAAGGCGAATAAAGGAGGAGCGATCTCCTCTGCGAACCGGCGGGCCCTGCACGGTCGCATGAGTCAGCGCAAGGCTGGTGAAAGCGGGCCGACGCCCGAAAGTCGAAATTAACTACCACCTGCGGCAGCTCAGTAGTGATGTTATGTGAGTGGCGTACTCGGGTGAGGACCCTGAATCCAGAACGAGAAACGGCATTGAATGGATGAGACGTGGCGTGATGACAGCGGGATGACGATATGCACTGAGTATGGTATAACAGACGTGTGATTGGTGTAATAGACGTATGATTGATGCAGGTAATGGTGTGATTGAATGCGGATGCGTGGATAGAAGTTAACCTAAAATGAGGGTGGATATATGTAGACAGAGATACTGAGCGGATGATGATGGAGGTTGTAGGGTAACGTGACGTATGGGTTAGCTGTTCGTTGACGTGAGGTGAAATAATTAGCAAGATATGTATTGAGCAGGGCGCAGATGAGTCAGATGGGATAAGCGTAGGCGTGCAGACGGGTGAAAAAAGATAAGCCGAGAGCGATTGTGAAGGTGATTTCGGGTAGAGAAGGGTTGGATAGAGAACAGAAGAGTAGCACAAACGAGAGGAGAGGAGAAAAGGTTGTGATGACGGTTCGTGTGATGTGAGGACGATCAAGGGACCGATGGATGAACGATGAGCAAATGAGAATGGAGGCTGCAGAGGCAGAGACCTAGCACGACGCGTGCTTAATGAGATGTGATAAAGAAGCAAGTCATGAAAGAATGAAAAGTCGAGTTAATAAACGAAAGATGAAAATGAACTACAAACTAAATAAATTGTGATAAAAATACTTAGCGTCTCGATGTCGATGTCCTGAGTCCTGGGGCTCGATGGCAGCGGCGAAATCTCCTGCTGACGGTGCAGACTGCAAGCGATAAAAAACACTAAGCGTGAAGATGCTTCCAATTCGGCAGGCCAAGCAAGAGAGAGAGTGCAGGCTAAAAAATAATTGCCAAGTCCTAAAGTCCCGCCCCTCCCACCACTGCGCCGACGGGACATGAGCCAATCAGCGACGGGGGCGGGCGCGCGCAAGGCTCCAGGGGAAAATGAGGTGCGTGCGATTCTGGAATTCGGACCAAAAACGGAATTCGCTCAATTCCGTCTCTCGACGGAACAATTACCCATCGCAACCAAGAAAATGTTTAAGGAACAAAACTATAAAAAATGTAGTCGTAGCTTTCTTGATGGACACGACTGGCAATCGGTTAATGTAAAGCTTTATCGAGGACAATAAGAGGGTAACAAAAGACAGATTTAGTAGAAATATTAAATCAAATATTTTTACAGCATAAAATTGTTCAAAATGTGGTAGTCTTGGGCTATTATTTTTAGTTTTAAATCCTATAGCTATCCAATATCCTCTTAAATCAAAGATGGAAGTACGTAGGGTTAATTCCTAAATTTAGGAAGTGATTCCTCAAGCACTAGTAGTGAAAAAAGAAGATACTTTCACTGGGATAAATAAAACGATATCTTACAGTTAAATGTTTATAAACGAACTGAATAAGTAGCAACACTAGAGACAAAGAATTGTTTTTAACATGTTTTTATATTTTCATAAAACAAATGAAAATTTACATTTCAATAAAGTAGGTGATAAAGTGAGATTTAACTTCATACGTATATTGATGAATTAACAATGCATAAACGTAGAAAAATTAGAAACTCTGTTAGATTTCAATTTTTAGAAAGTATTCTTACTGCTTTATCCTAAAATGTAAAAGCAAAAACAATTACTTTCTACGTTGTTTTTTATAAAAATATTAACATTAATTAAAATTCAATAAACAAGTCAGTTAATTAAAAACAAATAAAATTCACCGAAAAACTGTATAAAAATATAAATGTATACTGGACGTACAGGAAATGTATTTTTATAACTCAACTACAGTACCATACATATGCATGCGAATTAATTCACTTTCACAGTGCATATAATGTACACCGTAATACCCGGACAAAGTTTGTAAAATCCTTTTCCAACACCCGGCAAACTCTCATTCACGCACATATTATTTGAAATCCAACTCGTTGACGTGCCAACCTGCGCATACACGAGAGTCTCATCACGTATGCATTTGCCGCGTGCAATGCATGCACTGTGCCAGAAAGGGTTGTCAAGACAGATGCTGCTAACAAGCTTACGTTTTAAAGCGTCTACTCGACAGGACCGCAACGATTTGCATTTTTTTTTTTTTTTTTTTTTTGTTACTATTTATTTTGGAACTGCACATATTAATAAGACATTGCATGAGGATCATTGTTTTACAAAGGACGAAAAGCTTTTGACCATGTGATTTACTTTGCAATTTAAGTAGTACCATTATTATACAGATTTATTAATAAATTTTCTGTTCCGAATAACTGTAAATCAAAAATTCTTCAAACTTTACCACTTGTTGCGTTACTTCAATCAATAATAAATTTAACTATGCAACATGATATTCTGATTTACGTTGGCATAAAAATTTTCCTACTACCAATAATAATAAAATTTCATCATTACTTAATTAATGTTGCGTTGACGCAAAACAGCACCCAATAAAATATAAAACTTGCGTGATTCAAGATTCCCATATCGCAAATATCTGATGCACTATTTGACTTACTTTGTCTCAATGTGGCCCCAATTTCCAATGATAAAATCACGTCAAATCGTCTGGCTTCGAAGTTAAATATAAACTCGACATAGACGATGAGATGTAGCAGGTTTATCCATTAATTATAATGATTTATTAAACACCTTGAGCATCTAGTCTGAATTATAATGAAACGAAAATTGGTATTTTGTAAGATTTAATGACAGTACTGTAAGTTTTTGGTTTAACTATCGGGTGCATAATATATTTCTATCTTCCATAAGCTTCATTATTTAGGTTTGACATATTATCGGAAGAAGTTTAAAACATAAAATAATCAGTACTTTGAATTATCCTAAAGATTTTAGTAATTCATATTTATAAACAAACACTAGCCAACGTGTATTTATAGAACAACAGAAGAGAAAAAAAGAAGTGTCGAGTGTAAGTTCGCCCCAAATATCTCTATTAACGTGATGCAACAGCCATGTTCCGGCGACAGAATGACAGATCCACTGCAGGCTACGCTTTGGTAATAGACAACACCCTTCGCACGAACGGCGACCTATTTCTTATACTTGCCGCGCTTGTTTCTTTCTTCCTACTTGTTTATTTTTATCTCCTGATTTCCAGTTCTCTTTGTTTTAAGTTTGTTCTTTTTAAGTCACATACATTTTTATTCTCTCCAAGGAACAACCTGTAGTTTTTCTTAATTGGTAATTAAAATGCAGATGTAATTTTAAGCATAAATAAAATGTTTAAACAGATTTTATATATAGAAGCTCATACTACTCTTCAATTTATAAATTCTAAGAACTTATTTTTAATACGGTATGATTGGCATCAACTTATATGAAATCTTGATTTATTAACTTCTGATGCGTTAGATGCGGTGGTTCATATTAGGAGTTACATGCAGTATCAAAACCATATATCCCTACTTCTACTGTAAAATAAAATCTTCAAACTCGATGTCAAATTAAATTTAAAATTTTTAAATACCTTAAATTTGTTTCCGTGGCACTATTATTTCCTCTGCTAACAAAATATTCCATATAAAATATTAAGTCACAATAGTAATAGATAAATATTTATTAATGATTAAAGTGAATCTTTTCCTGCCCGTTTTAGTTTCTAAGTTCTGAGTAGAAAGTCCTAAAATTTTACGGAAACTTTAGGGCCCCTNTAAATATTTATTAATGATTAAAGTGAATCTTTTCCTGCCCGTTTTAGTTCCTAAGTTCTGAGTAGAAAGTCCTCA